GCTGTTTCATTGGGAAAGGAAGTTGTAGTCGATTCCATTTCACCAAGATCACCTTCCCAGTCAATATGTGCGACTGGTTTGCCAGTGGCTGCTATACAAATGGCTGCTACTGTTTCATTTCCTCCATCAATTAAAGAATCTGGCCCTTTGATCAGGCTCACCGTAGGTTCAACTGTTTAAAAAAAAAGTTGTACTTCAATTAATAAAGTACTTACAATTTGTTCTAGCAAAATCTAGAAACAGTTCATAATCTGAGGGACAAATACAAATAAAATCATACAAGTTATTTTTTAAGTAATGCCAATATCAACTGCATTCCTGGAACAAGTTAAATTTCAAATTATCATCACAAAGATGGCTGTCCCTGATAAAGCTTCACTTTCTGAGATGAATGGAATATAACCCAATTGAAAGAGTCAATCATAATTTCATTACTTCTGAAATAGTTTTATACTTTAAGTATGTATATGTACATCCTAAGCAAAAAATTTAAAGTCAATAACCTTTAAATAAGTTACTAGTTTTGCTCTATCTCTAATTTATACCTACCTACCTATTTGCTCTATATTGTACTTTAAAGGCTATTAATATTACCTTCTGTACCTCTCCTCTGGGAAACAAAGGGAAAGAAAAATATATATATAATGAATAAACTTCTAGCAAATATCCATGTATCTACCACCATCTGAACTAGGAATATAAGCAACTCACAAGTTTCTTATCTCTCCTTGTCTTACCCTATCTACTTTAACGTGGAACCATAACTCTAACTTGGTAAATGAATTTTTAAATATCTTCTCATTAGAATCAATAAGGCAAATCCAAACCAGACAGCCTTACTTTACCTGTATCTGGAGTACATATCCATATCTTGGTATATTTATACACAACTTTCTCTGGTTTGTCCCAGATACTAGAACTGCCTCTAGTATTTATTTTCAATTTCAGCTAAACTTATTTGAGGTGCCAATTACTTGCAATCTTCAAGATATGGATTCATATATTCACCAGCTAATCTTATTAAACGATTCAGTATTCCAATCTCATATATGACATGACTAAGGTTTAAATTTCTCAAGTTATGAACAAGGGTAGGTAGTATCACATGTTTTAGGGTCATTTTCAACTTCTTTTTCTGCCAAATGTATATTGAGGCAAGGTTTTTTTGTTTTTTGGGTTTTTTTAAACTGGTATGTAGAGGTTATACATAAATCTTAAAAAACAGTTTCTTCTAAATTATACGTAGCACAGATTATTTTCTATCAGTTTCAAACTTGCCATTCCATTGTTCTGTGTTTTGTTTTTGAGATGCTCAGGAACTGAACCAAAGCCCTGTGGATGTTAGACACGCGTTCTGTCATTGAGATATGTCCCCAGTCCTTTTTGAAAAAGTTAATTCAAATGTATTATGTTTTTAATTACTTTGATCGTTGACTACATACCAAGAAATATCCTATTTCTCTTATCTGAGGCCAACTACTATATGATTTTTGTTTGTTTCTAGTTTTTTCCATAAATTTATAGATTGATGCATTTCCCCAAATGGAACAAGCAATATTGTTTAAAAGTCTCTGGTAATTCTAGCATCCTATGTTTGTGTAGATCTATTTGGGTGTTTTTTAAGGCAGTCTGTGCATCCCAGGCTAGGCTCAAACTCACTCTGCAGCCTGCTGTGACTGACCTTCTCCTTTGTCTGCCTCCACCTGCAGAATGCAGGAATTACAAGAATGTGCCACACACCCCCTCCACCCCCATCCCCCACCCCCACCCTGGCGCTAGGGCCAATTTATGTTGAGCTGGAGGGTTAAAACTCAGTCTTCAAATGTGCTAGGCACACTACCAACTGAGCCATACCCCAGACATGAGTTACTTCTGTTGTCTTATTTGTACAGGGAGTTGAAGATGGACCTTCCTTACTTGTAAGACTGGTGGCCCTCAAGTAGAGTGCAGACCTATATTTGAATTATATCTGGACAGAATTTCACTCAAGACTGCCTCTTGCTTCACTTATCTTAGCTCAAGGGCTGAGAAGCCATCTCTCCCTTCCATCAGCCCCAATCTCATCTGACCACCACAATGTTTCTCCAGGATCAATCAGCTTTCAGTGCAAAGTTAATTTCTATACCTTCATCTTTTCCCAGTATTAATGCAGTCATACTCCTCACTATATACTCTGGGATTCCAAACACCCCAGTTGAAAAGCTGGCCAGAAAAAATTATAGATTCATTAAAGATTTATTTTCCTTGAGGAGCATGTATATCTAAAGTCAATTTTGAATGATACTGTTTGTTATTTTGTCTTGGTAAAAATTTCTGGGTAAAATAGTTTTATCACTTCAGTTGGCTTCTCTGTACAGATGCCCTCTGTGCTAAGCAATCTTCCTGCTCTGTCTCCTTGGACCCCTTACAACTTTGCTAAACTTAGAGAATACTATTCAATAAACTACAAAATGGGCCTCAAATGCTGTGTCTAACACACTTCCACGTGAGACCAAGGCTGTCAACCTATGAACTAAATTTCAAGCACCACGGGCTTGGGAGCAGATGAGGCAGGAGCACAAGCTCACACTTACAGCAGAAATACCAATTTTTCCATTCAAGTTATTTTCATATGCTCCAAATTTAAAATGTCTTATACTTCACACAAATCCTTTGCTCAACTGACAAATTACTTTTTCAGTGGTCCATTTCCAACCATTTCAATTCCTTCTATCCTATACTTTCCCAAAGGACACTTGCATGATGAGAGATTTTCATCACAATGAGGAAGTTACTGGCATTTGATGGGTTGGAGTCCATGGATCTGCAAAGCACTCTATGAGGAACAGGACAGAATCCTCAACAAAAAGAATTCTAGTTCTCACATTCAACAATTGAGTATTAAGGAAACTTTGATCTAAGTACCTCTCAGACTTAGCTCTCTGTCAATCCCAGTGGCAGGTTTCCCTAAATTTCCTTCCATGTGCCAAACTCAAACTACCTATTACTTAAAGACTACCAGCCAGTCCTTTTATAAAATGTTTGACTTCTGTGTCCACCAACTCACCCTCTATCTTATAAAGGGAATCTTACTGGCCTTAGGGAAAGTGTTGGCTCCTCTAGCTTAGCAAAGAGGCTTTCTGTAGGAGGAGCTGAGCAGTGCCTCTCTCTCCACTTCCTTTACAGATTGTTGCTGCTCCTCCATCCCTGATCTATGACTACTACAGTACTCATCTGCATTTCCAGATTGCTTTATACTCCACTTCAGGGAACTACCACAATGCTAACAGATTTATTCAAAGTTTCACCATAAACTCTAACAATTCAGGGAGGAAACAGTGAAATAAAGTTTATTATGGAAAATAGTATGTGATTAAAATAGATATACAATTCTTCAATGGCAAAAACAAAAATCATTGTGAAAAACTGAAATACAAGGTGGCAAAAGACTCCAAGAAGTCCAATGCAAGTCATTAGAGAAAAAGAAGTAAACAAAAAATAGGAAAAACTTAAACAACAAAAATTTAACTAAGGTTTTAATATTGAAGGAAGTAATAAAATGTTATAAGAGTTCCAGTTTTAAGAAGAGGATTTCATTCAATAGCACCAGCTAACCTGGAGTTTATGGCAATAATCCTCCTCACCTCTCAAGAGCTGGAATGACAGGTGTGAGTCACCATGCCCAGCTGAAAATCACATCGTCACTATAATTAAAGTGCCACCTATTATAAAAAGAGCTAAAACTATGCGGCATTACAGATGGGTACACACAGACTTTGCTTATATTAAGAGAGCCTAGAAATACACAACTTTAAGACAGAATTTGAGAATGTATATTTGAATGTTTTTTAATTTAAATCACATTTACAGATATCCTCATTTTATATTCTTGAAAACATTTTTAATATGCTATTTATCACAGTAATCAAACCCAACTCAAGCACCTACCTAACACAGTCACAGTTGTAGAGGACTGGGCATTTCCAAGTGGGAATGTAACAGCTTTGCATATGTATTTCCCAGAATCTGAGAAGCCTATGTTA